CTTTAGCTATTGCTGAACAGCCTTTGCACAGCATCAGGGCCTTCTCTGGCTCTCAGTCTGCCCTCACAGTGAGGAGACTGGGGATGTGCAGCAGGCTGGGATCAAGCTGATGACCCAAACGAAACAAAAAGGCATTCCATGCCAATGCATATAATCTTACGCACAGTAATAAAAAGGGAGACGAGAGGGTTCTTCAAAGTTAACAGTGTTTTGCTCAGAACTGGCTGGATGTTTGTCTACCCATGGGAGATGCTGAGTGATTGCCTTTGCATTGCTTTTTTTGTTATTTTTCTCTCTCTTTGCTTATTAAACAATTTTTATCTCAATCCACAAGTTTTAATGTTTGTGCTCTTCCTTTCCTTTACTCTTTTTGCTCTTCCTGTCCTCTTACCCTTCCCCACTGGGAAGTAAGCAAGCATCTGGGTGGTGCTTAGATGCCTGCTGAGGTTAATCTACAATGGACATATTACATTAATTTAAATCAGTTTACAGGTTATGGGCACCATACTGACTTCTGTGATGTAAAAGAACTTTGGGCTTTCAACATGTCTGGAAATTGTAAGAAGCTCTTCCACAATGACATGATGTGTGTGGTTTGTATGCAGCATATTAATAATATTTCGCAGTTGCACTGACCAGTACTGTTAATAGACAAGAACACGATGCTTGGGTGTGATGCAGAAAGTGAGACCTTGGTGATGGTCCACATTGAGTTATGTGGAGATAGAAGGCAAGGACTGCCTTTTCAAAACAGAATAGAGCTGTTTGAGAAACTGTCAATAAGTTATTGAATAACTAAAACTTACAAAACTTTCCTGGGCTGATCTGCCAAAAATCTGAACTTTGTCTCAATAGATCAGTATTCTCTTAAAATTGAGTTGTTTTATCAGGAAGAAAGCAGTTACCTCAGAATTGACTGTTGCAGTCTCACACACTAGTAAAAATGTCAGCAAATTAAGCATCAAAGTCAATTATTTCAGACAAATACACTATCATGTGAACTATTGAGTGCAGCACTTTCAGACTTAGGAACAAAATTTCCATGTTTATAGATGTGCCAGCTACATAAGTCTTTGAATATCCTGACTTTGTAGTGCTTACTCATTTACTGTATGTCATTTTTTTGATTATTTACTATCATTAGAAATAATCCTGACATGTTAGCTTTCTCCCCATGGTAAAATCTGATATGGGCTTTCAGTGTTATTCTGTTTTTGTTACTGTACAGATGTAGAAAGAAAACCTAAAGATTCAAACTTGAAAACTTGTAGTCACAGCAGGGCTGTCCTCAGCAAACCAGAAGTTTGCATTCCTACCACATGCAGTAAGGTTTTCTCTATAGACTCCTGTCACGGAGGAATTCAGCAAGGAACAAGAAATCTTCAGTCAGAGGAGGGCCACAAGTGTGTGAAAAGCTAACCACACATAAACAGTAAAGGTCATTAGCAGGCTCCTAAACTCCTGGCTAGGAATTGGTTTTTTGGATCATTAACGGTAAAAAAGCCTAGGAAATGAATAGGACTCAGTGTCCTATTAAAAATTAGCCAGAACAATTAAAAGGTTTTCTAGTTTTTAATGGAAACCAGACCTGATACCTCATTTTCCCTTGTCTAGTGGGCTATTTCTGCATTTTGAATGACACTCATTTTATGTCCTTGTATTTAAAAAAAATGGTCTTGAAGTATTTATTCTGTATAGGAGTTGTAAATTATTTACAATGAGGGGAATGAAAGCTTGGGAGATGTAGAATCAAGTGTCTCCCTGACACTGTGTTTCTGATTCCAGGTCATGGCTCTGAACTGTTACAGTTGGTTGTGACTGGATTGCTTCTGATGTGTGCAAATATATACTCTGCAGACTCCTAATACAGTGGTAGTATTATGCAATTCCATGAGTTCAAATGCTCATTTGTTTGCAAATGCACAGCTTTTTTGCTGTGAGATGTCTTTCCCAACGGTGTTTCCCTAAACTGTTTCCTGATTTTAACAGCAGCCTTTCTGCTTTCATTTCAATGTAAATTCCTGGCTGCTGAGTGGATGACTGGTGGCTGTTTATCTTCTCCACTGTGTATTTTTCCTTAAGCCTATAGTCATCTCTTCAGTTTCGCAAAAGAAAATAACACTGCACCTTTAGTATTTTAAAACGTAATTTTTGGAGAGGTTTATTAAATGCTTTCCTTATCTTTACATGTATGTTTTACAAAAAATCCAAAGGGAGAAAAAGAGAAAGAGAGAGAATGAAAAAGGAAGGAACAAAGAAATGTTTTACACTGTCTGCTTTGGCTGCAGGCCTGCCACTCTGGAGAAAAACAAGTTCCCAAACTTTTTTACTCCATTGTTATTATATTAATTTCCCTTCCCATATGCCTTACCCTCTGGTAATAATCTATGAATACAAGCCATATGATTTTCCTGAAACATAAAAAAAGAAGAAAAAGAATTGGTTGAGGGAAAATGGACTGCAGATAAATGGGGTGGGGATAGGGGAAATAAAAGGACCAAAGAAAGGCAGGACAAGATGATCTTCCTCACAATGTTAGTTTTGTACTGATCATTCATTTGCTTCATATACACAATTCCTTTCTGCAGTGAGTGACTTGCGCTGTCATTAACATAAAACTAGCTCCAAATGATCTTGGCCAAGAGCTTTGAAATATGTTAGTATAGAACCACGCACTCAAAACCATGTGGGAATCCATGTGGGTTTCCAGATGTGAGAATCTTCTATGTTACAAATATAGTTGTGTTTACACAGTATAATCTGCTCTGGGGATATACTCTCTATGCAGCTGTGCTTCCAGTAGTGGTCTTCCTGTGTGGATGCTGTTGTTTCTTACAGTGAATCTATTCTGATAATCACTGCTTGGAAACAAATGTTATCCTGCAAATTAAAATACTTTTCCAAGAAATTGAAGGACTTCAGCATGGGCTAGTAGTTTAGATTAGAAGTGAAAATTTCAAACATTTCATGTTTTATTTTTGATTCATCATAATGTTTTGTTACTAATTTTTTTTCCATTAGTTTTTTTTTACCAGTGAGTACTTTCTACGCTAGGATTAAAATTTAGAAGACTAAGTAAAGTTTGAACATGTTGTAATACTTTGCATGTTTAATGTGTAAGTACTTAAGCTTGTGGTTTGATTTCAGTTAATATTATCAAAAATACATGAATTGATACTAAGATTACGTGAATATCAATATAATTACCTGATGATGTGTTCATCTAAATAAAGATCTCTACCCATAATAAGAGTCTGTCGATGCTCATTGTTTTTCTCCTTTTTTTTTTTTTGTGTGTTTAAAAGCCCTTAACATCTTGACTTCTTTAATGCAGTTGGGGTTTTATGTGCAAGAAAGAAACTTGGAGTATCTTTGGAAAGGAAATTGATATCTGCAGGAAAAGACTGTTGGGTTAAATAACTCTATAGAGCTGAGCTTTTGCACATCAGCTAGTGCCTGAAGTGTACAGGATTTGGTCTGTAGCAATGATTATTAGTATTAATGTTTAACTAAGTACAGAATGGTGACTGAAGGTAATTTAAAATGTCATTCTTGTTCACTTTTTAGTGTCATTTTGTAATTTTAATAGCCACAAGTTTTTCAAAGAAATCTTCTTTCCTTCCTGACTGAAAACTGTCCCCATTGATGAACTTGAGTAATCAGTTTTCAGGCATAATCCATACACCGTGTGGTACCTTGGCTGTAGCCAAGTCATGTCATATATATCAAACAGGATAATATGACTCCTGTAGTTGGATCAGAGACCTTCAGGGAAAAAAATATCAGCTAAACATCTGATGTTGATCTCTCCTCTGAAATGACAGTAGCTCCATCCTCTAGCACAATGTAAAGTAAATTCTCTGTAGAAGTCATTACACAATGAATAAAATTTTTGTTTTACATAAATCACTGTAGCCTAAGGGTTCATTAATGTGTCAGCTGATCCTTTGTGTCTTGGAGGTTGTGTAAAACTGAGATTTTGATTGCACTTTTCTCCATTAAGTTGCATAGCATTTCCCACATTTAAAGTATATATTATGATATCTTCTATAGCTCCTATTTAATGGGCAAATGTATTACACATATCTAAAAACAGTCTTGTCCTTATCATTGTAATCTTTAAATTGTCAGGGAAAATTGTTAAAGGGGATTGTAAAAGCTGGAAGTAACTCCCTATTGCTAACCTCTTTAAGCAAAATATCCTTTGCTATTCTTCACCATAATCAACCAGTATCAGTCATTATCTTTAATATCTAATTTTAAGAAATGTCCTGTGTGATAAAAATGATGGGAGTGTGCCTGTCTCTGAATAAGAAATTAACTGAAAAGATACATCTGTGAGCTATGCGAGCAGTGACAGCTTGAAGGAAGCACTAAAACTGTCCTACAGAAGACAAAGCTTTCTTCTGTCACTTGCCATGGGTCATGTTTGCCATGGTAGGTAAGTGATGTGTTTTGTGTCACATGGTTGAGAGAGAGACTATGTGGCATTTCTGCTGTGAGAGGCTGGGAATATTTCAGTCAGCATGTGACTGTCTTTGTGGGCTGGTGCTTCCAAAACCATTTCTAACCCCAGCTGCATTGCCCCAGCACTCCTTTTGGAACGTGCTATTTTGCTTTCAGTAGCTAAAATCTTAAAGAGTGTGTATGTGTGCATGTCTGTAGGTATTTACAGCAAACCAAGAAATATGAAAAAGTGCATGCTTTGGTAATTAAAAACCAGTCAGATCTCATGGAAGACTATGCAAAAATCAAAGGCCTCTCAGTACCTTGTGGACATCAGGCTTGTTTCCTAACTTTCATCACAGAATCTATCTAGAACCTAGTGAGGATGCTGCATAAATTTTGTGATTATGGAACTGTATATTTAAATTCAGCTGAATTGAAAGACTGATATTTGTTTAAGGATTCTGTCAATGTATCTCTCAAGCTGTTTTTATGGCACTGCTTTTCATTAATTATATTTTGACAGAAGAAATTCTTGCCTTTTTTTTTTTCAGACTGAAGAACAAACGAGCCTCTCTGAAGAGCAGCTTAAGACCCTTCTGGAAGAATGTATGCAGCCTCAGAGAACAATAAGTAACGTTACCATGCCACAGTCTCAGGAATCTCTTTCTTTTGGATTAAGTCCCCCTTGTTACACAAGTCAAGACTCCACTCTTCACTCTACATCTAGTCTTTCCAAAATGTTAGTTGAAGACCATATTGTAGGGATGTTAATGGCTCAGGAAAAGGCTGGACTCGAAGACAAAAGCTTATGTGTTAATGCAGAGAGCAAAATCCCTGGCTACTATACCAGCAAAGCATTGGCTGGTAGTCACTTATCAAAGGATTCACTGGCCCAAACAGAGGAACCTGATGACCTAGAAGGTTTACAGAAGATGGAAGATAAGAGTATTACTGAAGGTTACTTTATGTCAAGAGCACTCAACACAAAAAGATTGAAGAAACCTTCTTTCTTGGGTGAACCATTATATTGCATCAGCATGAACAATGAGCCATCCACAGAGGCTGACATTCTCAGCATACCACTGCAAACCAAAGGAGGTGAGACTCTTAACAACCCTTTAGAATAGGCTTTTGATTATAATGAAAAAACCTAAGCAGGTTCTCACCAAAGGTATGCACCAATACACACTGATTATTACGGTGGGACAAGAATGTTCTTTAGAAAACATAAAACTGTGCCAAAAGTAATACACACAAAATAACAGAATGTTTATTAAAATTCTTACCCTGAAATAATTGACTAGGAGTTTTATGAAATATATCACTGATGTTGATTAATTCTGTCAGCTAGAAAACAGTGTTGAAAACACATATGGATTACCTTTTTGGTAGTAGAAAGTCATGTTCACTGTTCTGTGGAGAGCAAATATTCTTGCAGTAGCTGGTACAAAAATTCACATGAAAATCCAAGTGTTTCATTAAAGTTTTTTGTAAGGTAAACTCGGTCATATAGAAACAAACATGAACTGGCTATATTAAAGATAATAAACTGCTTTTAGGGAGTTCAAATTTACACACATAAGATACCAAAATTAATAATACCGAACAAATATTTTTAGTTTGGTAAAAGAAAGAATAGACTTTAACCAGCAAAAAAAAAAAAATCATTCTGTCTGGTATAAAACAATTGTGGAAATGTCTCTTGGGTTTTTTTAATGTTCTTTACTTATATGTAATTACATAGTGATACTGTAAGCTAAATCTATATTTAGATTGTTAACCTAAGACTAGTTCTCTTTCTAGAAGGCCAACTGTTCAAATAAGTCAGATTTTAGGCAGCTAAACCTTTTATTTTTTTCATAACAGTTTTGACAGTATGAAATTTGTGATTATAGTGCTAGAATCTAATCTTACTAGAAATCATACATTTTTCTATGTTTGTCAATTGGTCTTTGTTATACTGGCAATTTGTTCGGGATTTAAAGAAACTGGCTTTTTCACATACATCAGTAATTAAGAGGAACATTCTAATATCCCTCTGCTATATTATAATTTCATAATTATAATGAATTATAATAATTATATTATATATAATTATGATCACAACACTTTCTTTGATGTTTGTACTTACTCTTTCTACAATGATGGGAATTCTAATATTTTTCAAAGTGATTCTGCCTGAATTCAGTATGCAGGAAGTCCTGGTATGGCTATTTTTACACTGCCAGACAAAGCTGATATCCATACTTACCTGCACCACTTTCCCCTTAGGAGATTAAAGTGCTAGCTTCTACATGAAGAAGACAGAAATAGTACCTGTAGAAAAGGTTGGGTGGTTTTGGTGCTTTCTTTTTCCTGGCAGGTTACTTACCAGCTACCTTCACAAGCTGTCTTTGCTCTTCATGTAGATGCAGGCATCAGAGGAGCAGAGTGAGGGAAGAGAGTGGTCTGCCCAGAGGAGAGCAGGGTGGCAGTGGTGCTCATGGGGAGCATCACAGAGGTCAGCTCTGCCGGGGGCAGCCTGATCTCGTGCAGGAGCAACATGATTCCATACTGCACCACCAGGCTTCTTTGGCAACCAACAGTGAGAAAAACTCAGTGATTTGCTGCCTTCTCTTGAGTTAAAATTCTCCTTTAGTCCAAAGAGATGTAGCGTGGTCAGAGGCAAGTGTGACTCAGCCCCAACTACCAGCTCCCATTATGAGTGTGTTTTAAGAAGGAATGTGTTAAATCAAGGAAAGCACTTTGCACTGTGGCCACTGGGTAGTGAAGTGAGCAGGTAACTGTAGATGTAGTCACTGTGAGGTCATTTTATTGCACAAGAGAGGAAGGAGATTTTCAATATTAAGTGGATTTCCATATGGGACATCTCATTGTAGAAGTCTACAAGGTGAATGGGTTAACATTTATCGACATAATAATTTAAATATATTTGAGTCAAAATCGTGTGTTTCAGAGTAATGTAATGGGATATTTCAATTACCTGTTTTCACTAGTGACTGAAACAGATGATGAGTAATGTTTAATCCTGTAGAGCTCAAATCCATGTGCTTAATAAGAATCTTGGTTTTATGATGTTTTTGCATACAAATTCTTTTTTTGAGAGGGGAAGTATTCTGAATTTTCAGTCCCTGATTTTTTTCATTTTTTACTGAGAAGCTAATTAATTTGTTTCCTACAAAGGTGACTCAGTTCTGTCTGAAGCAATTAGTTCTGGACATAAGCCAAAGGGTGTGTTATTTATTGAATTTGTAAACTTTCTTAACGCATTCTGTAGATAATTTGCTTGTTAGTTCAGACATGATTAAATGTGCTAATTGTATTGAGAAATAGAGATCCCAGTGCAATCGAGTTTAAGGCAAATATATCTGCAGATGAAAGTATGAGAAATGTCATGTGTCATTTTAATTTGTAAGAGATATTTGCATAGTTGCATTTTGTTATTGTCTTAATTCTAAAGGACGTTTAAATAAGTATTCATCATCTTCTGCAAGTAGTTTGATTTTTTTGCCCACTACATACAGTTTAAATTCTTTGTAATGCTGACTAAGGAAATAAAGTAGTGTGAAAGTGGTTTAGCACAATTTCACTTTTGTATTCCTTATGGTACTGTAGTCTGTGATAGAGATTTACTGCAATACATTAAATTATATATATTTTCAGGAAAGCGTAATTATTAGTATAACACATATATATGTATATATATGAAGGATACTCTCGTGTGCCTTCAAAGATAAGTAATGATTATTTCTTGAAAGAAGCACTAATCTATACCCAGCTCATATGTATGTAAACAGAGATGATGTTTACTGAGGTTAACAGAATCCAGACTTGCCCACATGCAGATATGAAAAGGCTGTTATTTCTCATAGTTGTATGAGCCAGTAAATTATCATTTCCAGCTCCATTTTGAGGGGCTATATTAAGTTTTAAGTAGAATGAACCGTTTTTATATTTTGTTTTTGCAAATAATATTGTGCTTACAGCAGCTCAGCACCTTTTTCTTTTCTTTTTTTTCAGATCATATGAACATAGAAAATTGAGGGGAGAGTGACTCTATGCTTCTCTGCACAACTGTTTTCTGCAAGTGTAGCTAAACCTCTATCAGTGATATTGCACTGATACAGTATCATACCAAACAACCTGATGGGAATAAATTATTATAATTGAAAGTGTTCCATGAGTTGATTTTTTCTTTAGAGATAATTATTATTGTCATTGTCATGTATTGTTGTGTTTTGGTTTCAAAATAAACTCTTGCATTTCATTAAGTTTCCTGGGAGCTTTCTGTCTTATAAAGAAATGTACACAGATATTGTGTAGCTGTGTGTCAGATAAGACATGTATGTTTTTGTTAGTAAAAACAAACAAAAAAAAAAACCAAACAAAAAAAAAAAACCAAAACCAAAAAACCAACCAAACTTGAAAAGTTTAGTATTTACTGATGGGGCTTTATTAGAGAAGGTGTGAAAAAATATAATAATTTCATTTTACTTCACAGACACACACAGTCTAACTTTTTCATAGAGTTAGCTAAATCGTGTCTTCTGTTATCTCACTGCAGTGTGCTGGAGCTTGCAGCCTGTCTGACTCAGAGTCCTGACTCAGTGAAGCATCCCATTAGTCAGTTTTTGCCCCGGGGCTGTCTGTTGGCTGGACCCCTGGTTTGCCTGGAATTGCACAAGTGCTCTGCTGGATCAGGACATCAGCACTAGTCTGCTCAGGTCTGCCTGAATCCTGTCTGGGAAAACGGTAACCACACAGCAAATATTCATATCTTTGAGTTAGGAAATGCAATTAAATGAGGAAGGATGGCAGCCCCTGGTGAAGGCTTAGAGGGAGTAAAAGCGGAGGCATTCAGAAGTTTGCCCTACTGGGTTGTAAAACCTTATAGTGATGGGGGAAGGGTAATGCAGCTGGTTTGGGTTTGAGAGAATAGTAACAATTCATTACAGGTCTTTGATTGTCTAGTCTTTATCTAGTATTTTTTCCTGATTTTTGGCTTATTTACTCAGCTGATGATCAGTTTCCCATTTCATGTGCAGCAATGTCAGAATAAGAAAACATTATTAAAAAAGCATGGTTCATTTTTAAAAGTTTTTTTGAGTGGGGAGAGATACTCTAGCAAAGAAGACTCAATAGGTTTATCCCATTGACAAGCTCTCTTGTGACTTCTTGACCTAAAAGGACAAAATATTTCTCAGATCCTATACCTATAGTCATTTAACATTCAGCAAGAAAGCATGCAGGAATAGAATATTTACTATACATGGGATTTTATTGCATAGGGTTTACTTGATCTAATATGAATGTTTAATGCACATATTAATCCAGATTTTAATCTAATTTACAGAGTTGCCAGTAGGATTGGATGCACACTTCTGGGGAAGTTGTAAGTGTGTGGATATAACAGAGATCAGAATGTAACCGACTTGCTTTCAGTTAAAAATCTGAATGGAACATGGTATTTGCAACAAGCAGTTGCTATTTATTTTTTTACTTTCTGATGTTTTTACTTGTTCTCCAACAGCAATAACAAACCTTTGCATAGCGGATGTTCTGCATAGGATTGCTGTAATCACATTTTAAGGAACTTTTCAAATCTCACCTACATTTATTTCTTACCATAAAAATATTAAGCCTGTGTCATAATCTTTTTAGCATAAATATAACTAAAGCTATACTGACAAGTGTTTTTAAGAGTATTTTCTGTGCCTGTATGATATTCATTCAGAACTGTCTGCTAGCTCTAATCTTTTTGCAGTCCAGTTATTTTCATATGGAACTTGTGTTTTATAGAGACCTTCTCAAAAACAGTGTTTCAAGTGCTTGGGCAGTTTTTGAAGAAATCTAAATTATATTTAAAGATTGTATGTATAATATCTAGAGAACATTAAGAAAAATTCCCGATTTTCCTGGTCTTTTTTCTTATCTTGAATCTCTTGCTGCTATAAAAAAGTTTTTGCTAGCACCCTTAAGGCAGGGTTGATGTTGCTAACAAAGATTTTCAACATTCCTGAAGTCATGTATCTTTTTATTTGCGTCTGGTATTTCAGGGATAAGCAGCTATGTTTGGCTGGATATTTACTTGAAATGTATATTCGAACAGGAGTTCTGCAACTTAACTTTTAATCGTGGGAAGTGCTGAGCACCCTGCACCAGTTGCAGTCGCTCCAAGCCACAGGGACCTAGTGTTCATGGCTTGCTATTCCAGAGGTGTGTTGGGTCAGTACCCAAAGCTCAGAGACTATAAAAAATGAGTGACCTAAGTTTTATCTGTGCTTGGTTTCTACTGCATTATATTAAACAACAGGTTGTTTGGGAATATTTTATTTCTTGCTTGAAGTTACAGGTGAAATATCAATTCAAGCCCTCCTTTCTTTTTGTATTCTCAGTTTTAAGTAAAACTTTTGAAAAAGGAAAAATATGGTCCTGGTGAGAGGTGGACAATAACAGAGATATTATATAAAATATAGTGACAAGGTCATTTGCTAAAACATCACCAATAGCAGGGTGAAAAGAAAGTTGAGCCCAGGAGGCTTCATGGGTTTTTCTTTGTTTTTCCTGTGACTCTGTGTTGTGACCTGCAATAACCCCTCCATTGGGGCCGCCACTTGAATTCCAGCTGCACTGGAATGTGGCAGCTTCTCCTCAGGGAGTGATGCAGCAGTGATGATTAAGACATTTAAATTAATTTTCTTTTGCAGCCTAACTTGGGATTTGGGAACAGGTTTTTTGAAATACATAGCTTCAAAGTTATACAAAGCATAACTTTTATTTGGCAAAAGATTCTGATAACTAACTTCTTTAATGTCCTCTCTAGCTCCTTTAATCCAAAACATAGCAGAGCACAGGAGACTGATTTTTAAAGTTATCCTTCTGATTTTTGGGCTTTGAAGTGTTTGAGGAACAAGAAGTTTCATGTGTGCATGTAAATTTATGCTGTTTGTTCTCCTTATCTCTTTTCACACAACAATTTTACAGCACAGATAGATGCTTTGTTCCAAAAGTTTAGTATTGATGAAGGCAACATAACCATGAAGAAAAGATTCTGGTGTGATTGCATCTAATTGCTGAACAATACATGACCAAATCATTCTGTCTTTGTCACTGAGACCCCTCAGTGATACACATACAGTGCTGGTGTTTGTGGTGGCCAGTGCTCAGTTGTTGATACTGATTTTCTCCAGTGGGTATGTTCTGATGCTGCCATGGTTTTCTCTCTTAAATGACAAAATGCATATTTTTTTTTCTCTGAAAGTGGAAACTTAAGGTGGTTCAATCAATTTCATTAACATTATGTATGTGTGTGTGTGTGTGTGTATATATATATATGCATATATACATTGTATGTATTAATTGAATATGTAATATAGAAAATATACTATGCATTTGAGTGGGATATTTTAAAGGATTACAGCAGTAATTTCAGTATACTCTCATGGTGTCAGAAGTTCACTCCAGCTTTACAGTTATTGTGCAGACTTAGAGTGGTTGAGGGATTTTCATTTTGAAGAGTAGTGTCAAAATAAATATCCTGATTAAAAAAAACAAAAAAAAAATGTTTCCTGAACCTGGACAACAATAAAATGAGTGAAATTATTCTTTTATGTCCAGAATTCAAGTTTAAATTAAGGTAGTTCTACCAAGTGGTGAAAAAACTTTCATTTTTTTCATTTAAAAAAAGAAAGAAGAAAACGCCCACAAAAATGCTCAGCCTAATGCCTTTTTCCAAGACACGTGGGCTGTGTCTGCTTAGTGGAGCTGTGGTGCATGCTTTCCTTCTCACTTCCCCAGCAGAACTCCTGCAGAGCCAGTGGGCATGCTGAGCGCAGAGTGAAAACAGGCTGTGCAAAAATTATCTGCTGCACAGATCAGAGAGGAAAGGGCTGCTTAAACATGTCATCAGAGTAACAAGGACTAGTCTAGAAATGTAAAAAAGTATGCCAGTAAATTGATGTGCTGGCAAGGGTGCCTTTTTACCTCCATATCAGGGATGGATAAGTGAGAGGCAGTTGTTTGCAACTCAATTTCTGTGATTTCAGTGACTGCAAGAATTTTTATATTTTATTAAAACCCTGCACTTGCTGGATAAAATTTACAAGTTTGAAATTTAAAATTTACAAGGAAATAATGGAAGAATGCACCTTTGTGTTATGCTTCTTAAAAAGGCTTTCTAAGCACAGCTTTGAAAAATATCTCCTCTCTCTTGCTTTTTACATGAAAAATTTGCCAGAGTTTACAATTCCAAGCATGTTTCCTCCCCCACTTATGAAGAGAGAGCCTCACCTCTGGGAGTCTCACAGTGTGAAGGATAGATACAAGACAAGGTGGTTTGGCAGATCCTCAGGAAGCTGACAAGTTAGGAGGGTTTATGAAAGCTAGGAAAAATATTAATTGATTTTTTCTTTAATTTAATTTTCGACAGATGTGCTTATTGAGAAATAATTGCTCCTTTTTTTGTAGTGAGATTTAAAGGTCAGAAAAACTGTTTCCTTTTCAAATAGAATAGAGGCACTTGAATACTACTAATGCCATAACCTACATTTATCCAATTATACGTTTCATTGAGGGATTGGCTAGAATCCAGATGCAGTAGTTGGAATAAAAGGCTCCCTGTCATTTATGTCTATGTGAAATAGCTCACTGCTTGCAATTGAATCTGCAATACCTCTTATGCTTAAAAAAACCCAGTAAACTGGAATATTCTGGAGTATGCAGTAACTTGCAGAGTGTTAAAGTGCATGAAAAAATTTGCTTTTTAGGCAGGTATTCTGTATTCAGAACTTTTTTTTTCCCTTAAAAATATGCTGTTTTCTTGTGGAAATACTGGTCTGTGCCATTGTATTTTATTGTTTGCTTTGTGTATTTGGTATGCATAGTTTTGATGGGAAGGGCATTGCTGGAGGCATTCTACCCTAATTTTACAATAACACTAAAATGGTCTCTCCATACACATTGTGTGAGCAGAGCCATCGAGGGACATGGACACAGAGTCTCAGCAGCCCTCAGTTTAGCCTTGTATGTTTTGCCTAGGCTAGCTGTTCTTCACTTTGAAGGCAGGTTAAAAATAAAAGACAAATGATGTCTGGGCTTCCCGGAATTTGTTTAAATTTGAAAATCAAAGTTCCTCTATGATACTTGTCTAATTTTATGGATTTGCTATGGA